GGCGACATTTGTAAATTAATCTCTGACTTGAGCTAAGTGGTTTCTCCTAATGGCTTTAATTCAGTGACTCCCATTCTTGGCCACATGTCAGATTTACTGGAGGAGCTTGTTAAAAAGAGGTGCCCAGCCTTCCCTTCCCCCATCTCATGATTCGCTGGTCCCAGGGTAGGATGAGGGCGGTCTCTGCTTTGGAAGGAAAGCTCCTCAGGTGACTGGATTCTGGTGGGAGCCACCTTTGTGAGCCTCGGCTCTGAATCTGTCTCCCAAGGCCATGAAGCCTCACACACCCCCTGAAAGCACATGGGCTTAATCCCAGCTACTCAAATCCAGGTTCTAGAACAGGGAACATCTCTAAGAGCCAGCTTTCCTGACTCAGTCACCTCTGTATTCACATCACCGAATCTGCATTTTTTCTGAAGTGCTACATCACCTGAGGGGGAATACTTTACACTTGGCTGTACTATTTTCCTTTTTCATGAGCTTTGTCAGACATTTGAAAGATCTTCAGGGCCCGCTGGGATTTTCATCTATTAAGATGGCTGTGGACCTCCCCTCTCTCCTCCCCATTTAGCACCAGGCTCCTTCTTTGCATCAGGTGTTAGACAGACTTTTTTTTTTTGAGACAGAGTCTCACTCTGTTGCTTAGGCTGCAATGCAGTGTCACGCTCTTGGCTCACTGCAACCTCTGCCTTCAGGGTTCAAGCAATTTTCCTGCCTCAACTTCCCAAGTAGCTGAGACTACAGGCTCATACCACCACAAATGCTAATTTTTGTATTTTTGGTTAGAGCCAAGGTTTCACTGTGTTGGACAGGCTGGTCTCAAACTCCTCGCCTCAAGTGATCTGCCTTCCATGGCCTCCCAAAGTGCTAGAATTACAGACGTGAGCCAACGCGCCCTACCCTTTAAATAAAAAATTAACCATGTATGTGTGTTCCTGGTATTTTTTTGTGCAAACACATGTCTTGTTTGATCTTGGAGTTTTGAAAATAGATGACTCAAAGCACCATTGTTCCAATGACATTTATCAAATTGCTTTTGTTTTTACGATTCTGGTACACGGAGCACTTGATATCACCACACAGCAGATGGGTGTTTTCAGTAAATCTGAGAAGGTGGCAATTCATACCTTCCAAGGTTGCTGAGGTGATTCGTTGAGCTTGGACAGATGGCAAATTTAGTAAGCCGGACAGGCTCTCGAGCAAGTTAGCAGAAGTGCCCTGAGAGGCAATGCTCAAATTATCTGTGTATCAGACTGCTGCCCCCAAGCCCTTGTGTGGGACAGTGCTTTGTTACATGCTTGGTTATTGTCTTATTCTAACAACTCAGCTGCTGGAGGGCAGGGATACTTTGCTTTCTGGGGTACTGTGCTTTCCTTGGCTTAATTTTACCATGTCCCTTGGGCTTCTGTCCTCCTTGTCCCTGAAACTACAGAAGCTTGCAAAAGGATTCCCAGTGGCCCCACCCCTTCCTGGGGGGATATTGGAGTAGCCGTACTATGTAGAAAGGAAGGACATTTTGGGAAAGGAGAGGCTATTGAGACAAGACACCTGCTTTTCCTACCCTTACCCAGTTACTAATGATCCATCTAGGCAATAGTTCATTTTATATTGGCTAAACCCATACTATATGAATTATCACTAATTGCATAATAGCATGGGATTAATCTATGTATGAATGACTATAAAAAAAGAGTATATTTAGCCAGGTATAGTGGTTCACGCCTGCAATCCCAACACTTGGGGAGGCTGAGGCAGGCAGTTCACTTGAGGTCAGGAGTTTGAGACCAGCCTGGCCAACGTAGTGAAACCCTGTCTCTACTAAAAATACAAAAAATTAGCCAGATGTGGTGGCAGGCACCTGTAGTCCCAGCTACTAAGGAGGCTGAGGCAGGAGAATTGCTTGAACCCGGGAGGCAGTGGTTGCAGTGAGCTGAGATGGTGCCACTGCAGTTGAGCCTGGGTGACAGAACAAGACTCTTGTCTAAAAAAAAAAAAGTATATTTCATGACTCTGAGTGGCCTTCCATCTTCTGTTTTTCTTGGGTCTTATATATAGCATATGTTAAATAGATTACTATTTGGGGCACTCTATAATACTACCATTACCAGATAGACTAAAGTCTAACCATTTTGTTTTTTTCAGACTTCGAGTTCTCAGACAATGGGGATTTGTTAGAGAGATAGAGAGAGAGAATAAACTGACACTTCTAAGGTGGCTTTGCTAGGGGCCTAGAGAAGACAAGTCTCTGATGGAAATTCTATTTTCATGACCACATCCGAAGGGTTGATGTGTTTTCTGTAGCACCTGGATCTGGGCTGACAATGTGATCGAGCCTGACACGATAAAGAGGCATTTAGCAAGTTTCAAGACTAAACGCACAGTTACCTTAACACTGAGCGGCAGATCATCTCCCCAGGGAGCAATTCACAGTGCATTGCAAGGCAGTTTGCCTATCCTGTACCTCATTGAGAGGAGGCCTTCCAGCTGAACATGTGGACAGAAGTCCAGGTCCATTCAACAAAATCTTCAGTGCCAGGGAGCTGTGGAGGTCATTTCCCTCCTGCATTTCTTCCCTCTCTTACCCTATCAGAGAGATGCTGATATTTGAGTTTTCATCTTCAGAGGGCAGCAAGATTCCTGCCCTCCTCCTGTCATTGGCTGATTTGCTTAAATAAGGAACGCATTAGTCCCCATCACAGACTCCAAGTGGAGGAAGCTGGAGCAAATTAGGATCAGCTATGCTGCCCATTGGATGCTGGGAGATCACTGCCATTGCAGAAGTCTTAGAGTTCGAGTTCCTTACAGAATGATGTAGATGCCATTTGCAAGGACTTCTTTCCTATCCTTTTCGGCAACAGTGGCTTTAGCCAGCTCTGACAGATGCTCAGCATTCACAGATACACACACAGGGAGCCAAATGCACAGGGATTAGTCTTAAATCAGCTGTTTATGAATGGAGAAGAGGCCCCTCTCCTGGGTTCTGGCCACACCCCTTCTCTTTACAGCTTTTTGAGAATGAGGTCAGGGCCAGAGTCTAACTGCTTATGCCTCAGAAATAGCAGCACAGATCAAAATTAATCTTAAGCTCTTTGTTTTCCTGCCTCCTTTAGATAATAGAGGAAAAATCAGAGGTCTGCTCATATTTTTGTTTGCTTGTTTTTGTGGGTACTTTTGAAAGGAACATATGAATGAATGTGTGTGAGGGGAGGGGGCGAGGTGAAGCAGCCAAGAGGGATTAGTGCTGGGCGGATGATAATTACTGATAGATTGCAGCCTTCAATTGGAGCATGCTTTAGTTTTTAAAAGAAAATGGCAGAACGAAATAAACCTCAGTGGTGTATTGTTTTAACACCTCCGTTTATATGGAGATTTTATCGGTTGCTATGAAACTGCACATTCCTTTTACAGCATCCGGTGTTTTTAATGGTCATTTTCTGGACTGTGCAAGCCACCATTCTGCCCCAGGAGCTCCATGGAGTTTTGCAGTGCTTTAAATGAGTATTTCATGCAGATTTCATTTTCTGTCAGCCACTTTGGCATACATACAAAATATAGATGTGTGTGTGTGTATGTGTGAAAGAGAGATTTTTGCTGGGTGTTGTTGAAGTATGTTCACACTATCATATTTTGTATGTCCAGGACTTTATAATTTCTACCTTCAAAATTAGAACACACACACACACACAGACACACACACACACACACACACACACACACACAGAGCTTGATCATGCTTTGGGATGATACATTGGGATTTACATACATTGGGATTCCTCTCTACCCACCAGTCAAGGCCTGAGAGATGTTAATAAGTGGGCACTGAGGAGACTGACTTCCAGTGCCCTTCAGCCTGCAGTCTCTTTAGGATATTAGCATACCTGAAAGGTTGATCTAGAAGCCAGGTGTTGTGTGTAATGGTGGTGCCTACTTTTTGTTCTCAGTCTTAATTGTTGACTGAAAACATCTTCTTTATTTCTGACTATTCTTTATTCACATTGATAGTCTCCTCTCTGAAAGATTAAAGAAAGTAGAATGTGTAGTGAGGACAGAGGCGTCAGTGTCAGCCTAATCTGCTACATATTCATTTGATGGACCTTAGCATGACAGGTATCCACTGAAGGAAATGCCAAAACTGTCTTCCATCAGTGTAGATTAATTCTGATTGGAGAGTGTAGAGTAGGACAAAGATTGTCATATAACTGGCCTAATGGATTGCCTAATTGACTTCCTTAACCAAACTGTTTTCATGACTATTTCAGAAGTGTTATAATCACATAGATCACACATGCAATGAATATATATCTTTATGTATGTGCACACATACACACATTTGTACGAGCAAATTTGTGCTCTTCAAATTGGTATCTCTTGCATAGAAGCAAAAAGTATATTAGTGTGCTCTGCGGCTGGGAAGTGGGAAAGGGGATTGATTTAACAGGCATGAGGGATCTTACCGAGACGATGAAAATGTTCTGAAACTGGATTACAGTGATGGTTGCATAACGTAGTAGATTTACTAAAGTCATTGATGAATTGTACTTTTAAAATGGGTGAATATTGTGGTATGTAAATTATGCCTCAATGAAGCTGTTAAAGTTGATATTCCTTTATTAGAGTTCCTGCAGATCTTATATTACGTGTAATATGAAAAATTGTATCACCCTAAATTTTCACCTGCTCTTTTCCCACTGAAGTTTATCGACTTCAATTGCAGAGAAGCTGGACTTTGAGATAACAAGGCCAGATTAAAAAAAAAAAAAAAAAAAAAATCCAATGCCCTGAGATATAAAAGTCTACCCTGACCCCTATTGGCAAGGAGCGAGGTTGCTGAGGAGCCAACCTGGAAGGAGTATGGTGGGCTGGGAGAGGGGGTGAGATTTCCAAGCAGGTTCCCAAGAGCAATGGGCACCATATTTCAAAGCTGCTGCTGCATGTGTCAAAAAAACCAAACATCCTGCGGTCCAGCTCTTAAGTGATGGCACTCTCCTCTTCTTTTGCAGGTTGTCTTAGTCTTTGCTCTCAGCATCGGTGCACTTGTAATATACTTCATAGATTCGTCAAAGTGAGTATTCAAATATACTTTCTTGCCCTCGTTTCATAAACAATCATGAGCCTTTATGTTGATCCATTTAGTTACCTCAACACCAACCTTTGCAAGAGCCTTCTCAATGCAGAAGACTTTTGGAGTAAGCTGGGTCTGTTCTGTACTGATTTTATAAGTGGGAAAGAAAGTTCTCAGAAGGAAGGCTACTTTGATTCTGCTGGCATAGGAGGGACAGGTATCTGAGGTCAAGCCCTCTTGCTAGGTATTTTTTATTTTTAAACAGCTGTTTCCTGATGATGTATTTACAGTGAAGATGTCAAGTAGTTAAGATGACTTGATGGGAATTTGCAACTTCTGGGACGGTGACAGTTTCCTACAGATGAGGGTCTGAGCCATTCTTGCCATGGTTGTTAGATCCTTTTCTCAACTGGGTTTCCAATGCTTTGATCTTACTGGAGGTCAGATTGGAAAGCATGGTGCTATCCTTCCCCTTGCCAACAAGGTATTCATCAGCATTGCACGCTGGTGCTTCTTGACATGGGAACGTAAGAAGATGGATGGAGAAGTTCATGATGACTCCCAGAGGTGGAGGCCCATGGCCATTTGAGAAATTCTAGAGTGGACACTCATGCAGACTCCTTGGGTACCGGTCGAATGGACTGGTGCTCCAGAGTGAGCCTGGGTGACAGATGATAAAGACATTGCAGAAGGATGAAGAGGCACAGACTAGAACTGCAAGGTTGTAGCTGGTTCTGCCCTGATTCCTGCAGGTGCCAACACTGAGGACATAATTTGTTCCAACTATACTATTACAATCATTAAGTTGATGGTATCTGGGAAGCAAGCTAGAGTCTAACTCATTTTCTGTTGTGGTGTGAACTTGGCAATTCTGGTGACAGTGGCCTTGAGTGTGTTGCCCTTGTTATCCACTGTGCGAGCATTTTGAACTTTAACTCTATCCCTGGGGTGGTTGGATACTAGACTTTGGTACTAGAAAACCTGTTTGGTGTTCCTGGTGGCTCAGATCCTCGTGTGCCTGAATTCTGAGCTTAGTGCTCCTTTCCTGTGGCTTGGGATGGTGATAATTTCATGCACACCTAAACTCGGAATTTCTCAGAGCCATCTGGTCACCAGCCAAGAATTTTGTGCATTTGGGTGCAGTGGCCAAAATGTCAGTCAGGGAAAATAAAGAAAATATCTTCTTTAATAACATGTCTCTGGGAATCAGCCAAGTCTAAGCCTATCAGAGGTCCTTCAGCCCAACCCCACATGTGAGGCTGGGCTGCTGTCACCCATCTCAGATGGAGAGTCCTTTAAAAACTGTCAGGAGGCAAGATTCCACAGGCTCCCTCCGTTAGCTCTCCTGAGCCAAGAAAGAGAAGAGCTTGTTTAAGTTTGGAAGACTTCCATTGATATGTCATTGAAGGTAAGCCCCTTTTAAAATATTTACCCTTAATGATTCTGGACCCTATTTGAATTGAACTGAAGATCCTCTAAAGCCCCTGGTCTTGTTTCTCCCGTCTCTCTCCAGGGGTGTTGTCACATATCGTGGGGTGCAGACCCTGCCAGCTTCCATGCTGGGCTCAGGAAAGAGGTTTGGGCTTGTGGCCTGTATGCCCCAGAGAGAAAATACCCTGATGTGGAGGTGAGTGTGGTGATGGGTTAGAAGTACAGATGCCTCGGTCAGCACTTACCTTCCCTTTTTGTTTTTTAAATTTTTTTAACCTTTTGTCCTTATGTATTTCTCAGAAATAAAATGCTCTTTAGATGGATTTGGATTGTGTCGTTTTTTACAGTCTACTACGAGGCAGTCTTTTGTTCCATAGATCCTGTTGTTCTCCATTTCCATGTGAGGAGATGAAAAAGAATGAAATTCCCCAATGTGTACCCTCTTTTCCTAATGTCCTATACCATCTCAATGTTCTTTGGCTTTAATTATGATTCTTCTTAGCTTTGGGGAAGACAGCATTGGGAGTCTCATCTGCTTCCACTTTCTTTTATGGACTTGCAAATAGTCTATGAAAAGATGTAACTTCAGTCCTGTCCTCACCTTTCTTAGCAAAAATGCCAGTAAGGTTACAAACAAGGCTATTCGCATTCTGCTTGAGGACTGTCTTAGCCTCATCCCAGTTTAGCCTTTCTTCTGTGTTGCTAACTTGTGTGGTTTGGCATAGCAAGGCTTTGTTTATAAGAAGAACTTCTGGTTATTTACGTAGACACTTTTCATTTTTTTAAAAATTTATTTATTTTACTTTAGGTGCATACTGTATCTGTCATTTCTCCCCATATTATTGCTCCCCACCCTTCCCTCCCTCCCCACCCCCTGCTGTCTCTCCACTACCTACCCCCCAACTGCCCCCAGTGTGTGATGCTCTCTCCCTGAGTCCATGTGTTCTCATTGTTCAACACCCACCTATGAGTGAGGACCTGTGGTGTTTGGCTTTCTGTTCTTGTGTCAGTTTGCTGAGAATGATGGTTTCCAGATTCCGCCAAGTCCCTACAAAGGACATGAACTCATTGTTTTTTTATGGCTGTGTAGTATTCCATGGTGCATATGTACCACATTTTCTTTGTCCAGTCTATCATTGATGGGCATTTGGGTTGGTTCCAGGTCTTTGCTATTGTACACAGGGCTGAAATGAACATATATGTGCATGTGTTGACACTTTTCATTTTCATGACGTCATTTGGTCATGAGACCATATCCAAAGATTCTTTCCTGTGGTGGCCCCATCAGTGGAGTCAGCACAAGGGAGTTTTCCATCTTCCTGGGGAAAGACAGCAAGCAAGCTCAGTTTAAGTTTGGGGGAGAATTACTATAGAATCTCTAAAGCCATCTCTATGGTAAGTTCATAGATTTACAGGAATAAAACACAATGAAATCTATTAAAAAATTATAATTAAGCTTAGTGAATGAGAAAAAAATGAAGTTCCAGGCACATATAAGATGCAAATGGAGAAAAAGTGAGAAAGTAGAATGTGTAAATTCTTAAAATCCATGTCTTTCATTCAAAACTGTTACCAGTTTTATACATTCATGGTTTGGCTGGCCATCTGGGCGTTTTAGAAAGACAGCTTTAAACTTCTCATGGAAGTTACACTAAATCATCACCCTGGAAAAAAAGCACTCAGAATTCTCCAGATAAATTGTAGTTAGTATTTACACCCTTCAAATAAATAAATCAGGGGACAGTATATAGGCTTTCCCACAAGTAAATCTAATCCAACAGACATGCGTGAAATAGCTTGTCTTGGTGAATTTTAGCTAGAGCTGCCTGCCCCCTGCCCTGCCGAATGGTGAGGACTGTCCTGTAGTATAAGTTTGAGATTCCAGGCTCTCTGCACCCAGCCCTTTAAAAAGTTCAAGGAATGCTGATTAATTTATAAAACAGGCTCCTGTGGTCTGCTGGACCAGATATATCTCAAGGCAGGCCAGCTCCAGTTGTGCAAGTGGACAAGCAGGCTAGGTGGTTATTTTACGTCTGTCCATCAGCAGATGAGTAATGTAGTTTAGAGAGATGTCATCATTGGTGGGTTTATGATCTTTTTAACCTTTCAAACCTCTTCTTACTATCCAAAGGTGATGGATAAGTCACTTCCAAAGACAGCTGCACACCTTTCGATTTTGGCCATTAGGCAAAGATAGATCCCAGCAGAGGGCATTTTCCTTAGGTCTGGTCTTAATGATCCTAGGGTGATTGCAAGGGAAGACTCATTTGTGTAGTCTCAAGTGAATACTGTCTAGTTAAGACAGATTGTCCTCAGAGCTCCTGGAGTTGAAAACCAAAGAGAATTACATCAAACCTTATTAAAATTATGCTCTATCATCCCAGCAGTAGACTCTCTAGAAACACCCAAAAAGAGGAAGATGCCTCTGGATCAAGTCTTTGGTCAGACATCACATCAGTGCCTTAACAAGCACAGACAAGCATTGAGCCCTGCACACACTGTCTCCACAAAGATCTCCAATTAGCCACACAAGGTGGATTGTGTACAAAAAGCTCCCTTTCATTCTTTTTAAAAGGACTCCTGCCCAATTTATGTCACATGTCACTTTAGCTCCTAGTTCTGATGTCTTCCGACACCTACGCCATCCCTGTCCTCCCACACATTCTGATCCTTGTGAAGCAAAGATTTTTTAGAAACTGTACAACCAAGTCAAGAGTGCCTGCAGACGCCCTGTGGGTGCTAATGTCACCATTGCTGCTTCCATCCTTGTCTATTTCCTCCCTTTGACACAAGAACAGCAATTCTTATCTAACAGATAAGGGAAAAAAAACAAAGACCCACCAGTGTCAGCATGAGAGCGAGATTCGTGAATTGCATAATGCAGCAGTCTCTGTTGCTTTCAGAATTTCAAGAGAAAGTTGGAAGAGACAGAGGCCCAGAGCTCTGGGTATTTGCATTTTTACCAGGGGCATTCTGGGAAAGGATGACTCACATGTGTGAAGATATTTATTCCTTTGATTCATGTTTAAACGCTGCTACTTCTTATGCTATCATTACGTGGATTATGAATACTTAATGCTGCGTATACTGAAAATGAAGGTCAAGTCCTGCTTACTGGTGACTTCAATGCAGGCTTCTTCTCTGAAAGGGAAGCTACCTGCTGTTCGCAGAGTAAAGCTGAAAGGTTATACGTTGTTAAATTTTTCCTTAATGACTTTATCTGCTCTAAAATGGCTGGCACACAGTGGGGGCGTTTGCTGATGTTGCCAGTCTTTGTTCTTGGCTTCCGATATCAGCACTGCTGTTTTAGGGATATGGACCTTAGGAAGGAGGAGGGAAGAGCAGCACAAATTTTGTAGAGCGTCTCACCCAAGAGCCCCATTGCCAAGGCAACGGGGGGGTTATGATTGGAAAATGGCATCTTCTCCATCTTTTAAAATTTTGCTTTTGCATCCACTCACCCATTTATTCATTTTGTATTCATTTATTAGTTTGTAACATCTTCAAATGTGATAATACTGAACATTTTCCAGGCAGTAAAATTGCCTATGGTTAAGGAAAACTATCTT